TATACACAACAGCAGTTATCTACCCATATTTGGGCCAGTCTGCCTGCCTCAAACAAAAAATTAAACTTTCACTTTAGTGAAATGTATGAATCTTTTTTGAAAAAAAATGAAAGGGCACAGGTGACCACGGGGAACTTGCTGTGGCTTGCTGTATATGTACTCAAATGGGCTTCTGCATTATCCTTGGATCCTTGAATGCATTCTGACCTGGGGCAGCTATGACCACTTTGTAATGACAGCGGCTCACACCTCCAGTGACCTGTGAGTGCGTAGCTTTAACGCAAGGGCGTAGGTTTGCGTGGGGACCATGGGGACATGTCCCCACCAATATTTGGTGAGGACTAAAAAGTCCCCACCAAAATGACATGATGACATGATGTCCCGTGACCCGGACGGTCCGGGACACATGTCTTCTGTTTGTGCATACGTCGCGCCTCCTCCTTGCCTCCAGAGCAACAACAGCAGCAGCAGCACGTGACCCGTTCCGTTCTCTGCAGTGATTGGCTGTCTTCTTCAGCGCCAAACTGAAGCACTGAGCAACTGTTTAATTTTTAATAGTTAGCCAGCGTGAAGCAAGTGTTTTTTTTCGTTCCCTGAGCGTTGTAGTACGTGAGTAATCAGAGGAAAGTACTGTAGATCTATTACCATTCAAAGTACTTACGTTATTTCTAATCTGTCAGCGCACTGTTTAATGTTCCGAGGAGCTCACACGGCACAGAGACAGAACAGAACTGGCTCCAATAAAGAAACAGGTTGGTTGAAAGGCTGAAAAAATAGTTATTGTGCTCTTACTATCCAAAATGTATAAGTGGGTGTGTTGTGTGAATCAGGATAAACTAGGGATGAAAATATTCCACGGATCCACGATTTACAACCTTTATTTGCTGATAATGTAATTTCTGTGTAATGTGTGACAGCGGGCACTTGCTGTTATTTGCTCTAAGCACATTCAAGCGATGCACTCGAATGTGCACGTCCTGGTGCAGCTGCTGCCGCTTTGTAATGACAGCCGCGGCGCTCAGTGAAAGCACAGCTCTAACATGGTACCGAGCTCGGACCATATGCAGACAGAACCATGTTGCAAGTGCGGGTCTCCCTCGTATCTCCCCCGTTTCTCCCCTGTGTCTCTGACATGTCTCTCCCCTGACTCTTCCCAAAGCGCAACCAGCGCTCCCGAAATTAAAGCTCGGATACCTAAATTTTCCATTGCGTTAACGATGCATGCTGGTTGTGCGCAAAACACACCACAACAGGTCATTTAAGTTTTTATTTTGCATACTTGAGAGCCCTGTGAGTCATTACTTGCCTTTTTGGGTTGAGAGTGGAATAAAAAAAAGAAAATATAGAAAAATCCACACTGTTACTTATTGCCAAACTCTTGTTAACTCATTGTATTGAGAAATACTATGTAACTTTTGACATTGGCCAAGTTATATAAATGATTCTGCAGTTCATGTATATGATTTCTGTCTGTACCTTCTTATATAATTTAGAAAAAATGCCACCTCCACAAAAAAAGATAAAAGATATCAGGAGCTTTTTTAACAGTTGGAAAGTAAGTAAGCGAAAGCACAAGTAATAGCAAATTATGAATTGTGATGATTAATCTTCTGTTAACATACATAGGAAACTCAACCAACAAGAGAGAACAATATAGGGAATGTTGAGGTAGAAGCAACAGGCCCTTCAGTGCATCAGGTGAGGTTGGAATTTTGTAGGTATGCATGGGACTATGAATTGCTTTTAGAGATTGATCGTATATGTCAAACAATGTAGTGAGCTACTCACTGTAGATTCTAATTCAATATTTTCTCCTCTGTTTTTATTTATTATAGGAAATTGAAAGATCAGAGCATGATTTATTTCAAGTATTGAGAGCAGTTCCTGAACTGTTAGAGCCTCAGGTGAGGGCTATTATGTAGGTTTGGATTAGGTTTAAGTCAGTATAGAATGAACGCCACAAAAAACTCGGAAGCTCTGATCCAATTGATTTTGTTTTAACTATTAGAAAAAATCCTTAACTGCTTCTCATTGAGTCTACAGCTGAGTTTAGTATAGAAGGCAACACACTATTGCAAATATAGTGTGTGATTACACAACAAATTCTGGGGGAGAAACTCTGGACCCCGTGTCAATGGGTGTAGACTCAGGTCGTAGTGAATGTCCCCACCAAGATTGGAACCAAACCTACACCATTGCTTTAACGTGGTCATAATGTACCCAAGACCCACACGAGCACAGAACCATTCTCAGCTTGTTGTGTGTGTGTCTTTGCGTAACATGTGCACTCAATAAATACACAGCTGCAAGAAACAGGGTTAGGGTTATAGACCCAATGTATCCCACATGGGCTGTTACATTTAATGAAAGGTCACCTCGCAGGCCAAGTATGGCCAATAAATATAATTTATTTAGAAATAGAGTCAAATTTTTGACAATAAATGCCATAATATTTGTCTTACTGGAACTCACACTTCCAAAGCATAGAGTGGAAAAAAACTGCACCTGCTTTTCAAATAAAGTGCCCCTTTAAAATTTTAGCCACCTTTTCTTTACTTGTCCAACAACTAAATACAGCCTCAACAGTGATTCCACATACCATATGAAAAACCAAAAAAAAATAAACATGAAAAAAATAATGTTTTTTGTTGCTTTTTTACCTCCTCGACGGAGGAATATGCCCCGGCTGTCAAGGAATAAAAAATGCCCGGGCTGTCTTTTTGGTTAGTGGGAAAGATGGGAGACCTCTGGGAACACCAGGTGCTACAGTGGGGCGCCTGCGGGTGTAAAGTGCCAAGCTGTCGCTATGAGACACTTCACCCACATTAGAAAGAGTCTGGTGTGTGTGTGAATGGTTGGTGGTGGTGGGAGGGGCTGATGGCACATACTGGTTGCGTCACTGCTGTCCGTGTGCCCCAGGACATCTGTGAAATAAATATACAGTATGTGGTAGAATGTCGAGTGTCCTGCGGATCATCAACACTTTTAAAATGGAAATGCTAAGAAAGAGCTGCATGACAAGTTGCTGATAACTTGATAACGTAATGTCATTCCTTTAAATAGCCTGAGTAGAATATAGAATAAATGTGTTTTTGCTCTTTTACAACAAGCACACAATCCAAAGCTAAAGGGAATGATTCTAGAATAGTTGCAGTTAATTAGAACAAGAATATGAATCACAATATACATTGATTAACTGCTGCCCAAGGTAAACTTGGATAGTAAGGAAGGTTGAAGGCAGTTACCCAACTTTCAAACCAACCACGAATAAACCAAATCAGTAGCATGCATGTATCTTTGGTTTTTATCACATCTAAATCAGCTTCTTCAGAGAGAAAAGTGAAAAAGACAGGCCCACTCTCACTCAGCTTTCAACCTAAAGTGCCTCGCAAAGGGTTCAATATGCAAAAGTATGACAAATATAATACTAAAAGCTTATAATTGATTCCTTATTATGCTAAAGTTATAGATTTTATTTTATCTGAGTATAGGGTTATAGAGTAATCAGGTGCTGGGTGCTCCTGATTCCTCCTGTTCTGTAACTTGTGATGCAACACTGAAATTTCCCTCAATGTGGGACGAAAAAAGCAAATTTACTTTTACAAGACTCATTCTGTCGCAACAAACAAAACTTATTATCTATGAAACTAAAAAGTGAAAACTTGACGATCAGCCACCACTCACTTTTGGTTGACGTCTCAGTGGATTGCTTCATTTCCACTTTATTTATTGCTGCGCACCACAATAGGAGGCTCTTAAATCCCATTTCCGCAAAGCCATGACTGTAAATGCAGCTTGCGTGGAGCGGCTCCTTGGGTCTCTGTGTATAATACTTTCTTGATTGTCCAAGAAGCTCTCGTATATTGGAGGCAGTTAGTTTGATCCAAGTGGGAAATTACATGTACAGTATTTCTATTCCTCTGCTGCTGACCGTGCACTTAATCGAGCTCAAGCAACGTCCATGTAATTTATTGGCGGATTTATTTAATACAAAATACTTAAGCTAAATTTCCGTAGGAAGTTTGGATTTATTGTTTATGGCCATAGTCTCTGTGGGCGTTAGAACTCAATCATCAGGCTTTGTCTCAATCTTTTAGCAAGATCAGGGTATTATGTTGGGCCAATAACATCCTCATATCTATTCATGCTGTAATCTCTGGTGTGTATTTGTTTACCAGCGCTGCAAGTGGCTTAATACAGGTCTAAATAAATCCTGAACAGACGTTTTATCAGTGTAGTTTGGTTATTATTTTTCATCCCACTTACTGAAAGCAATTATGGTTTTTGTGAGTGAGTGGGGAGAGGATCAGAGAGAGAGACCAGAGAGATCAGAGAGAGTCCAGAGAGAGACAAGAGTGAGACCAGAGAGAGACCAAAGAGACTAGAGCGAGACCAGAGAGATCAGAGAGAGTCCAGAGAGAGACCAGAGAGACTAGAGCGAGACCAGAGAGAGACCAGAGAGACCAGAAAGAGACCAAAGAGACTAGAGCGAGACCAGAGAGAGCGACCAGAGAGACTAGAGAGAGAAACCAACGAAAGAGATCAGAGAGAGAGACCAGAAAGACTGGAAAGAGAAACCAGAGAGAGACCAGAAAGACTGGAGAGAGAAACCAGAGAGAGAGAGACCAAGGAGAGAGAGACCAGAGAGAGCAACCAGAGATAGACCAGATAGACTGGAGAGAGGAACCAGAGATAGAGAGAGATTAAACTAGAGAGAGAGACTAGAGAGAGAGACCAAAGAGACTGAGAGAGAGAGATAAACGTATTACTACCCGATAATACATCAAAATATACAGTTCCTTATGTGAAATATTGAAGTATTCCCCATGATCCAGGACACCCATTTTACCGTGAGTCTAACGTACATGCCGTCTTCCATATTCCATCTTCCATCTTTCCTCTTCCCTCGACCCTGCTCCCTCTTTCTCCGACTGCTACATTTTGACAAGCATAGTGGGCTGATTTGTGCCTTCTCCCTTTTGTTTTGCTTCTGTCTGCAGTCCATGTGAAGGCGGGCACCTGCGAAGTAATTGCTGCACACCGATGCTGCAACAAGAACAAGATCGAGGAGAGATCCCAGACCGTCAAGTGCTCCTGCTTCCCCGGACAAGTGGCGGGGACCACGAGAGCCGCGCCATCTTGTGTGGACGGTACGCATTTGACGCACACGCCATGTATACAGTTAAAGAGTTATAGAGTTATACAGTTATGGAGTTATATAGCTATGGAGTTATGGAGTTATACAGTTATGGAGTTATACAGTTATGGAGTTATATAGTTATGGAGTTATGGAGTTATACAGTTATGGAGTTATATAGCTATGGAGTTATACAGTTATGGAGTTATATAGTTATGGAGTTATATAGTTATGGAGTTTACAGTTATGGAGTTATATAGTTATGGAGTTATATAGTTATGGAGTTTACAGTTATGGAGTTATATAGTTATGGAGTTATGGAGTTATACAGTTATGGAGTTATATAGTTATACAGTTATGGAGTTATACAGTTATGGAGTTATACAGTTATGGAGTTATACAATTATGGAGTTATACAGTTATGGAGTAATACAGTTATGGAGTTATATAGTTATGGAGTTATATAGTTATGGAGTTATGGAGTTATACAGTTATGGAGTTATACAGTTATGGAGTTATATAGTTATGGAGTTATGGAGTTATATAGTTATGGAGTTATACAGTTATGGAGTTATGGAGTTATATAGCTATGGAGTTATGGAGTTATAAAGTTATAGTTATACTGTTTTACTGTTATATAGTTACACTGCAAAAAGGGATAAAAAATAAGTCAAAAATAGCTCAAATTTGAAAACAATTGTCTTTGTTTCAGCACATTTTGACAGCCTTCATATCTTATTCAAAACAAGATCATAATAGAGAGACCATAGACAGAAAGACCAAACTATCAATTCATTTTTCATTACGATGACAAATAATCATAATACCCCATCATGGCTCGTCGTTATTCATTCATAATTAAACACGTTTCATCATGACTCATCATTAGCCGAGCGTTGGACACAATAGGGTGTAATTAGTCATGATGACCTGTATCTTTTTATTCCAATAACGTTTTTCCCTCCCCAATGTTCTTTCTGTGCCTGTTTATCATCTCGGGTTGCTTCTGTATGAGCGGTGGTTTATAAATACATTTGCCTTTCCATTGATTTATTCATTGATTGGATTTATATCAAGCTTAAAAACAAGAATCAATTATAGAATTTACAGTAATTACATTTTAATACATGATTAAAACATACATTCATACATACATGGGTTTCCTTTTTCCACACCTTATGCTGAGTTAACAAAGTGCACGTTTGTAAGGGTTAGGGTTTTATTTGTTGAGCGCCTTTCATACACATGTGCAACACAAAGCGCTTCACAGTCCACATCACAAATCATCACATAAAACAATACCAGAAACACAATTAGAAAATTAAAAACACACACAAATTAGAACCATAAAAACTTTAAAATTACAGAGGGATTTAAAAAATAAATAACCACGGTGCATTAAGAAATGAGCTAAAATCCTTCAGTTGAATGCGCAGGCAAACAGAAGTGTGTTTAACCTGGATTTAAACATTGTCAACGTAGACGCCTGTCTCACATTTTCAGGGAGACTGTTCCAGATTTTAGCAGCATAAACCTGAAATGCAGCCTCCCCATGTTTAGTTCTCACTCTGGGCACCAGCAGGAGTCCAGTCCCTGTGCTCCTCAGAGTCTGGCTTGGTTCATACGAGACCAACATGTCACCAATGTATTTTGGTGCAAGGCCATGGAGAGACACAAGCAGAGCTGTTTTAAAGTCTATTCTCTGAGCCATGAATAATGAGTCTTGATAGTTCATGGTTAGTCCCCCCGCCCCTTCTGATTAAATGCCCCTGTTTCAAACCCGATACTACGCTGAATCCTTGCAGTATTACATCATGACCTGTTCTGCCTTTAAAACAAAAGGTGTGTTTGGGTCTCAATCAAATGACGTCTTACTTTTTAACTGTGTGGATATTTATGTCATTAAAGTTTCCCAAATAAAATAGCTGCCACCGGCTCATTGCTAGATAAAGGATCCGTTAAGAAATCACTCCACATTCTAATAACAACAAACACACTCCTCTCCTTTAAAGCAGCTGCAACATTTCACTTTTTGTGAGTTGTGAAATTGTCAGAATGTTCAAAGTGTCCAGCAGTTCATACAATTCCCCCCACGGCTATTTACCTGCAGTTCCCTCACACCTTCGAGCTCAGGCCAATAAAGCGTGGCAGCCGGGTCATTTAATATCATGTCAGAAGTGGCCTCTGTCACCGGTGAATCGATCCAATCTTCACCTTTTTCACCGTAATGGCTTTCACACACACTTCCTCTAGATATGCTACTCTTCCTTAAAACGGCGTCTGTTTCTTCAGCGTGGGCTGTGTTAGACAAAGTGAGAAGAACCTTGACATGGCCACCTCCACCAGGCTTTATTAAGGCTGCGATACAAACCAAGAGAGTGTGCTTCAGATCAAAAACACGGCAAGAATGACAGGTCCTTTTGGGTTCTATGTGCATTATAATTGTTTTTCACTTTTAATGATTACGCATTGGTTTTATACAGCGCTTTTCTGGACACTTAAAGGTTATTATTAATTAACTTCATACCCAGTGGTGTTAAACTACTATTCTAACCACACTAATCATAACACTCACCCTAAATGCCCTGGGGCACACTGACAGAAGCGAGGCAACCAGTATGTGCCATCAGGCCCTCCAACCACCACCACATACACACAAACACACACACGCACACAAACCTGACTCATTCTAAGTGTCTTGCCTAAGGACACAACAAAAAATTGGCACTTTACAGCCACAGCTTAAATAACACTTACTTTTGACCGTTTGATCATGTGGTGTCTTGTAAACGTGTGGTCTCAAACCCCCAGCCCAAGAGCCATTTCGGCCTGCGAAAAGTTTTTTTGTGGTCCTTCTAGTGGAGATCAAACTTTAATGTCAGTGCGGACCCCAATAAGAGGCACATTATAAATTCTTTTAAAACTAATTTGATTTGATTTTTACAACCAAGTCAGTTTGACTAAAAGTGACAAAATACTAACTGCTAGCAAGTAAACAGTTTGTTGCTATGTTAACTAGAACTTGCGCTGTTCTGGTGAAAAACCAAGCCGAAATTAAAAAAAAAAAGACATAGAAATAAACTAAATAGATGCAGAAAAAGACACAACAAGATGAAGAGAGCAGATGAAAATACAGCCAGAAATATGCTTTCAAAACTAAAAGCCGTCAAATTGACTGCTCTGGGACTTTTCCTGTTAACAAATATCAACCCAAAAAGGGAGAAAAACAACGCTCGCACATTCTATCAGATTCAGATTCATTTATTTGCCATTTGCAGTAAAACCACATCGGACCCACCCAACACACACCAGAGCTCGTGCCACGGCGCCAGAATGGTATTCTAAATGCATACACCAGTGTTTTTTTCATTTTTATTTACAGATGCAACGTTTCAGCCGTGGGCCTTCGTCACCATTTGACTTACGAAGGCTCGTGGCCAAACGTTGCATCTTTGAATGCAACAAAAATAACACTGGTGTATGCAAGTACAGTGTGCGAGAGTTGTTTTCCTTCCTTTTAAAGTTGGCGAAGCTGTGTGCGGAGTCTACCTACTCATACGCACCTGTCACAGAGTCAGATGTGCAAAGGTTTCCACTTTCGACAAATATCAACCCAAAATCTGCTCATAAATCCAGGGGTAAAACTGGACCCAGAGTTAAATTTTTACAGCCACATCAAATCAGTAATGTTAGCAGCATTTTTGGCATATATTCAAAATGCTGCAGCCCGAGCCCTGACCAGAACCAGGAAGCACCATCACATTAGTCCTGGTCTCAGGTCTCTGCGCTGGCTTCCTGTGGCTCAGAGAATAAACTTTAAAACAGCTCTGCTTGCTTCAAGTCTCTCCATGTCATCACACCAAAGTACATCTGTGACATGTTAGTCCCATATGAACCAACTCGGACTGAGAGGAGCACAGGGGCTGGCCTTCTGCTGATGCCCAGATTTAGGGCAAAACATGGGGAGGCAGCATTTCAGATTCATGCAGCTAGAATCTGGAACAGTCTTCCTGAAAATGTGAGACAAGATTCTTCTCTGACAACGTTCAAATCCATATTCAAATATTTTTGATACACTGTGATTATTCATGCAGCACTTCAGGTTTCCTTGTGTATGAACTGTGCTAAACAAATTAACCGCCTCGGCTTACCCAAAGAAACAACAATATTTTGATTTCCAAACTCAAAATTCAGACATTGTATAGCACTGGCAAACACAAACGCATCAATATTTCAGGGCTCTCTCTGTTGTTATTCTATGTTTTCATCATTTGTTTACAGCCTTGAATGCTCCCTCAGAAAAACCGCATCATTAATACAACAAGGCTGAGGCTCTTTCATATTTCTAATAACAACAATTGGCTCAAAATCACCAAAAAGAGTATTTCCACAGTACTTCCTGGAGTAACTCAACACAGACTAAGGCTTTGATTGACAGGTCACATAAACGTTTGATTATAGAAGTGTTGTGGCCGTGTTCAACTGTTCTATATTTAGATAATGCTATAATGATGATAAAAATCTTTTAAAAAACCCTCTTCTGTGTGTGCTCTCCCTGGAGCCACTCACTAAAGTTTTTTTTTTTCTGATAGTCTATTTCCAATTGAAGTGAACGGCAAGAGACATCTTGTTTCTTTATGTACAGCAAGAAAAAGCAAGCAAAATATTGATCGCAAAGCTAAAAAAACATAGCTGTTTCAGGGCTACTTACACTGCAAAGTAATGATAAAGTAACTATAAAGTAATAAGTGTTTTTAATCTTAATTTGAGTATTTACTGACCAATTGGACAACACTATAGTTCAAGAAATGTTTTCTCATTTCAAGGGAGACATTTCTTTCTGTATATTTTTTAAAACAAGATAATTTTGCTTTGTCCCATTGACAAATACTTACTTATTTTTCATCACTTCAGAGTTGCAGTGGTTCAAGCTTATTCAAAAGTAAAAATACCAATTATGTTCTATATAGGATCTACTGTAATTCCACATTCTAAAACATACAATGACAGGCTAACACATATTCACATCTTTCACACACAGGTATGGCCACATACCTGCTGGATTCTGCCTTACGTTTGAAGCTAAGCAGGGCGGGGCTTGGTTTATACTGTAATGGGAGACTTCTGGAATCACTGGTTTATAGTAGTTTATCACCACTGTGTATGGAGTGAATGAATAAAGAAATGTGAAGCTTTTAATTGTCCATAAAAGGTTATATATAAAACATATGAATTATTGTACTTATTGTTATTATTATTATTATTATTTATCCAGCCTCCATAGTTGCACAGAAGTGGTGGTGCCAGATGCATCCGTGTATGGACGGCGAGGAGTGTAAAGTGTTGCCAGATCTGAAAGGCTGGAGCTGCAGTACGGGAAACAAAGTGAAGACCACCAAGGTGAGCAACGTCACACAGATACACACACATACAGATATACACACATGCACAAAAGGTAATTAATAATTGCTTGAATTGAGTGGGTTTTATCTTAATATACTCACATAAATACATAAATCATATTTTACAGCAGCCACATCACACACACTCACACTGCACCAAGGTCACCGCACCGAGAAACTCCCCCTTTATCAACAAGAAAGAATCCAATACATGACAAATAACATGGACTTTTCAATTATTTAAGGTCAAATGTTAGAGAAGGGAGAGAATGAAAGTGGGGGTGGGCCTCGGAGCGGGACGACACCAGGGACGAACTGCAGACTTTCATCAAACGATAACGGGACTAAAAAAGCTGCGCTGAGTTCAGCCCATCCTCAAGACAATTCTCCACTTTGTACTTTTACTTTGAATGAGGTTCCACTTCCACAGACGCAATACGATATTAACAAGCACAAAACGTGAGACATTTACAGTTACACTACAAAAAGTGATACAAAATAAGTAAAAAATTGCTCATATTTGGCAAAACATGTCTTAGTTTGTGTGCATTCTGACTGCCGTAAAACAAGATTTGCCAATGGGACAAAGCAAAATGATCTTGTTTTAAAAATATACAATGGAAAAAGAAAATAAAGTAAAGACTAAATGCCTTTGTCTCATTGGAAAATCTTGTTTTAAAATAGTCAGAAGCAGGGCTGGACTGGCCATCGGGCGTACCGGGCAATGCCCGAAGGGCCGATGCCCATATTTGGGCCGGTCTGTCTGCCTCATACAAAAAAACATGTTTGTGAAAAGTGTAAATCCGTTGAGAATTGTATAAGGGGGGTGCGCGGGGCACCTGCTGTATGTACTCGAACGGGATTCCGCCACCTCAGCGGCCGCAGTGTTCCGGGGCAGCTGCGGCCGCTTTGTAATGAGCGGTACCCGCATCCAGCGGCTCTGAGCTGGACGCGGGAACCTCACAACACAACACAGTGAGCGCGTATACCCAAGACCATAAACGCGCACAGGAGTCGGACCATGCTAGCCTGGTTGTACCACAGATTGAGCGGAATGTACGGATGGCTATGGCCAGGCTAGGACCATGCGTGTCTTAGCGTAATCTGTGGACCCAATAAAAACACTGCTGCAGGAAACAGTCGGCGTCTACCCTCTCCTCACGAAGCGCGACTAAATTAAAGCTCAGGTACCTAAATTTTCCTTTGCATCAAAAGTTCATGTTTGTGCCCAAAAGTATAATGTTGTGAACAAATCAAACAGATTAAGTGACAGCCAATGGCTGACATTATGCATTTCAGACTTATTTTGTCCAATTCTCATCCCTGAAACAAACAATAGTGTTGTCTGTGTCACCCACTCACTCTGAGACATGTTTATTACTCTCTTGTGATGTAAACTATTGCACTTTATCAATTGTTGAAACTGCATACATCCTGACCCTCTGCAGTTTTTGCTTCTGCATACTGTATAAACCAGGGGTCCGGAGCCGCATGCGGCTCTTTAGTACTCCTTGAGTGGCTCATGGAGCCTTTTCAAAAATGTCTGAAAATGGAGTGGGAGGGCTATATTTTATTTCTAGTTTGAATGTGGTTTCTGTAGGAGGAAAAACATTCTTTATGTTTTTAAATGCTGTAATAATGTGCATAAGTATTATTCAATTTCATCATTTCTGTAAACGTATAGTGCATCAGATATGACGCGGCCCGGCGCCGGCGGCCGCTGTTGTAAACAAACCAGCGCGTGCGCATGGATCCCAAATCTAAAAAGAGAAAGAGTCGATAATGGACTAAGAATAAGAATGAACTTTTGCTTTCAGTCAACGAGGAAGGACTGCTTCATGTTTGCGTTGTAACGAGAAGTTTTGTTACAACACGAGGAACAATTAAGCGCTAAACACCGTTGACTGAAGGATTCATTCATCCAAAATTCAGAGCACATACTTTCAGACTTCAAAAACCTCCACAGAGACGGTGAAAGAAAGGGCCATTAAGGACATTCAGCTCCAGCAAACTTCAGCCTGTGATGGATATGAACAGACGGTGCTGTGAACAACTCTGAGCCATAAAGCATTTATTTACTGTATTTCTACAACTGCACAAAGGCAAAAAATGGAAGTTAAAGTTAAAGCAGAGTCGTCACGTGGTGCGTCATTCTCTCCAGGACATGCTGCAGTGAAAATACACATTTGATAATTATGAATGCTTATTATGTATTTGTATCCTTTACTTTGTCATTTCGATATTAGGCTATTATAGCTAATACAGCTGCAGCCCGTTCCCTTCATATAAGCTGTATACAAGGCTGTTATTTTTTGCGGCTCCAGACAGATGTTGTTTTTAGTTTCTTAAAAAAAACCTTTTTGAGTTGCCGACCCCTGGTATAAACAAACTTGTATGCAACGTGAAAAAATATGCCTGGACCGCCAAGAAGGCTAAAATGCCCGGGCCGTTTTTTTGTCCCAGTCCAGCCCTGGTCAGAAGTCTGAACCTCAGGACGTGTGAACACAGCCCACACTGCACGGTACAGATCAGCCAAGCATTCATATTTAATGTGCACAACGGTTTTTATGGCTATCTTAGCATAATGCTCTGTTATATAATGTTTTACTGCAAAACATAAAATATGAGGTAGCAGTTGCTTAATAGAGTGTTTTTTTTTAAATCTTAATCTGAGTACATTTTATTTAACAATGGTACAAGAACAGTGCCTTTTTTTCTGATTCCACGGGAGACATTCCTTGAATATTTTCTAGAACAAGATCATTTTGTCCCATTACCATAGATTGTTTTAAGGCAGTCATAATGTGCTCAAATTAAGTTACATTCAGCAACATTGTAGACTTTTTTTTTTTTTTGCAGTGCACACACATCTAGAATTAAAATGGCTGGTTATGACGCATGCCACCACCACCACTGTTACATTTATTAAACTCTTAAGTCAAATTCCCATTATGTCATTCTTTATTACTGCACCAATTGCCAATTAAACAGCAATTACACCATTTTCCAGAAAGCTTATTAGCAATTAAAATGTCGTTTGGTGGTCTCATCAATAACCAGTGGATTCATGGGAGACATTTGTCACTGAGATCTGTTCTTGTTGATGACACCACACTCCGTGCACGTCAGTATTACTCATGAAAATACATGAAGTGCCATATTACACACTGTAAGCAGACTTTTTTCTTGTTCCGCATGGACCCACTGCATATGATTACAGCCAATCAGCTTCACAGGCCTGAGAATGCGCCATGTTCATCCTTCTGAACATAATGAGATATAAAAATAGACACACAGACTCTGACTCTCGCTTCACTTCAGTTCCACCGCGGCGGAATCGATCATGTACATGTTATTAATGACTTGTTTGGAGACTTATTTTTCAGTAAGAGAATATGCAGTGGGTGTGGTGTGCCGGGAGAGAGTGCCACCTGTGCACCAAAGGAAAAAAGAGAAAAGAAAACAGAAAAAAATATGTTGTGTTTCGCTTTTCCACAAGCTTCAAAGTGTTTTATCTTCAAAGGGAAAACAACAGTAGACCTACTCTACAACACATGGAAAAACACAAAATCCAATTGGTTAAGACAAAATATATATTGATTAATATAGGCTTTTTTCTCTGTGTGCTCCTCATTTCTACTGTTCTATAACTGGTGATGCAACACTGAAATTTGCTGGTCTGTAGTAAGTAAGTAAGTAAGTAGTAAGTAATGTTTATTTATATACCGCCTTTCACAGACCAGAGTCACAAACCGGTTTACAATTGTTATTATTTTTGGGCATTTGTCCTCTCACTCCTCACAGAGATGGGAGCGGGGTCGCCAAACAGGAGGCGCATGTCAAACCTATTGTAATTTTTTTAGTGGTAGGGGAAACCGGAGCACCCGGAGGAAACCTACACAGACACAGGGAGAACATGCAAACTCCACTCAGAAAGGCCCTGTTCCGACCGGGATTCGAACCCTGGACCTTCTTGCTGAGAGGCGAGAGTGCTATCCACTCAGCCACCGTGCCGCCCACAGTGCAATTAATATCTGGTCGGAGATCGCTAATCTAAAGCATGTACTAATGACACGGCCTCCGCATAATGCAGAACAAAAGCGTTATATTCACCATTTTCCTGTGGGAGGGGCTACTCACGGCCATTTTGAAGAGGTACATGTTGATTACACATACATTTCAATGAAGAATATAGGCATCACTATGTTTATTAATATTTACTGGCTGTCACATCTGTCACATCTCTGAAGCTAAGCAGGGCAGGGCCTGGTTTATACTATGATGGGGGACCTCTGGGTCACTGCTACTATCAGTTTATATGTAGAGTGGTGAGGGTGCCTAATGCTATTCTACAGTCCCTGGTTTGTCCTTACATTAGCTCAGTCAGGTTCACTTCTATGCTTCGTGCTGCTCTGTATGTGGGACTTGCTTTTTTACTTTTCTTTCATTATTCTAAGCTATTGATCCTGTGCTTGCATGTGAGTCCTTAATAAAGTCTAAATAAATAAATAAATATGGTGAGAATGATCAGTGGCGATTGTAGATTTGTTACATTGACAAATATTTTGTTCAGAATTTGACACTACGACCATTATGTGATTGGTTATGTTACCCAAAATATTGCACCGACATGTGTGTGGCCATACTTGCAGGGGGAAGCCAGATCTTTTCAAAACCTCTGAAGCAAGAATGAGACTGGTGGGTGTGTGAAGTGTGTGAAATGAGACCTTTGAGGACACCAGGTACCCCAGGGCAGCTGTGGCTACAATAGCAGTTTGTCACCATTCTGTACGGATGGAAAGAATAATATGTGAAACATCTTTAAGTCTTCAAACAACATAAAACCGATGCATTTGTATTATTACTACAGTACATTGGCTAAAACAACCAAAAAACTGACCTAACATAAGGAACCAGTCTTTCAAGAATGGGACTAAACATACAGGCCGATTTTTTTTCTTTGATCATCAGAGATTGTTATTGTTGCAAAAGACAATC